AGTTTTTTGTGTTTTTTAGTAGAGACAGGGTTTCACCGTGTTAGCCAGGATGGTCTCGATCTCCTGACCTCGTGATCCACCCGCCTTGGCCTCCCAAAGTGCTGGGAATACAGGCTTGAGCCACCGCGCCCGGCCGCAATTTTTGTATTTTTAATAGAGACAGCGTTTCACCATATTGGTCAGGTTGGTCTCAAACTCCTGACCTCAGGTGACCCATCTGCCTCGGCCTCCCAAAGTGCTGGGATTACAGGTGTGAGCCACTGCACCCGGCTTTCATATGCTTTATAACTGCCAACCCATTAATGTGTCAGCCCATTGCTGCATCATTTATTCACATACACAGCAGAACATTTTATGCACCTGTCATTCATTTACGTGCCCATCTGCTTCTCAGTTCACTCTCTGCCCATTTATTCATTTGTATGAATTTGAAACAAGCTCTGGCTCCCACTTCCCCAGGTGTCTCTCTCTGTTAATAACCCCTCCTCACCCCTCCCTCCTGCCCACACCAGCGCTGCACGGAGGTTGCCAGCGCCTCAGGCGCCGGGGCCTCTGCTCATACTGTTGTCCTGGTCTAAGTGCTCATTCCCAGTTCCCCGACTGAAACAGACTCAGCTCCAGTCTGTGTAGTGAGGACTGTGTGGGGCGGGGCAGGGAGAGCAGGGCTGAGTCCCATCTCGCCCCCTCTTCCATGGCCTAGATCTACATTCAGACAACCACACTAACGGTGTCCTTGAGCCTGAGTGCGTCGGTGTCCCTCGGCATGCTCTACGTACCCAAAACCTACGTCATCCTGTTCCACCCGGAGCAGAATGTGCAGAAGCGAAAGCGGAGCCTCAAGGCCACCTCCACGGTGGCAGCCCCACCCAAGGGCGAGGATGCAGAGGACCACAAGTAGCAGGGCAGGCAGGAATGGGACTGCTCGCTGCCTCTCCTTTCTTCCTCTTGCCTGCCGGTGGAAGCTATACAGAGCCCAGGTCCACGGTGAACAGTCAGAGGCAGGGAGTGTGCGAAGACCACGCGCTGCATCGGTGGGGCTGGCCTTGAGAAGGAACTGGACCCAGCTCTGCCCTGATTCCAGCATGTGAGCTTCATGCTTCCTCACCACAGACCAGACTCGCTAGCCATGGTGGGAAACAGCCACCGAGAAGGTTCTAGCTCTAGAGAGGAACTAAATTTATTCTCTCATCCGAAGTCCAAAGATGATGATGAAGCCCCGGGCTTTGCCTGGATTGAGGATTTCCTCCCCTCGGTCAAACCCCATAACCTGGGGACTGGGCAGTGTGGAAGAATGTGTAGACCCCAGAATGAAACGTGGGGTTGGAGTGGAGGAGGAGCTGTCTCAGCAAGGGGAGACCTGGGGCTGTGCATCTGGACGGAGGCACGCAGGCCTGGGTAGGATTCCTCTGGCACGGAGGGAGAGACCCTGGGTGAGACCCCTGTGCACGTGGGAAGGGCCTGCAGGGGTGAGGGCGTGAGCTGAGGAATTGGGGTACACCCCCATGAGATTTCCAATGCCATGGACTTTCCTGCCATCCCCCCGGGACTGGGCAAGGTCAGACTTAGAGTATAGCTGTTTTCCTCCCCTGTGTGTACTCCCTTAAATCACCCCCAAACCTTGGCTGGGCGTGGTGGCGCACACCTGTAATCCCAGCACTTGGGGAGGCCAAGGCAGGTGGATCACCTGAGGTCAGCAGTTCGAGACCAGCCTGGCCAACAGGGTGAAACCCCGTCTTTACTAAAAATACAAAAATTAGCCAGGCGTGATGGTGGGTGCCTGTAATCCCAGCTGCTCGGGAGGCTGAGGCAGGAGAAACACTTGAACCTGGGAGGTGGAGGTTGCAGTGAGCTGAGACTGTACTACTGTGCTCCAGCCTGGGCGACAGAGTGAGACTGTCTCAAAAAAAAAAAAAAAAGACCAAACCCACCCCTGCAAACCTTCAGAAATTCAGATACTTGTGTGTAGTATGAGTGATGTGATACATGTGCGTAGCATGAGTGATGTGATACATGTGCGTAGCATGAGTGATGTGATACATGTGCATAGCATGAGTGATGTGATACATGTGCGTAGCATGAGTGATGTGATACATGCGTGTAGTAGGAGCGATGTGATACATGCGTGTAGTAGGAGTGATGTGATACATGTGTGTAGTATGAGTGATGTGATACATGCGTGTAGTAGGAGCGATGTGATACATGCGTGTAGCATGAGTGATGTGATACACGTGTGTAGTATGAGTGATGTGAGAACGAGGAGCAGGGTTGCATTTGTGCTGTGTTCGGGTCGGGGATGGGTTTAGGAGCTCCAGGTTGGGAGCAGTGACAGACAGCCATGTCCGTGGTGAGGGTGAATCCCAGGTGGATGGCTCAGGACGGGGATGGAAACTGTTCATTCCCCGTATGTACTGGGAAGACCCATTTGCAAGCTGAGCACCGGCCCTGGGAGGAAGAGGCTTGGGCTGCAGGTGCACGCACGTTTGTTTTTCATCGATAGTTTTTACGAAAAGCTTGGTTTAAGTTATGGAATTTTGTGTCCCTGGGAGTAGAATTTAAATTTGTTAAATTGACCACTGTTTAAGATCAATATATATTCTCTAGTATGTGATGTCTGGAGCTAGTTTTGAGGGTGAACCACACTTTATCCCACATACAAACTTTCCCACGCAGCTTCTCTGGTGCGTAGCTGGTTTTGACCTTGGGACTAGGTGTTTCTGCAGTTTTTAGGTAATTAACTTAAAAGCTTCTCCTCTGACAAACATTTTTGTTGCACTGCTGACTCTCCTTCTCCACATCTGTTGTGTTCCTAGGGCTTCTCCGTAGTGCGAACTAGGACGCTTCATTTGTTGCTGAAAGATTTCCAGAGTGTATTTATTCCGCAGGGTCTCTCTCCTGGGTAACGGGGCATGTTTTCTTGCCAAAGGCGGTTCCACACTCACGACTGTGTAGGGTTCTTCCCCTATGTGAACTCTGAGAGTCAGTGAGCTCTGATCTCCAGGGAAAGCTTGCCTGCATTTGCTGTTTCCTCAGTGTTTCTCCCACTCTGAATTCCTTGGTGTGCAATGAGTTTTGACTTCTAGTTGGAAACTTTTAGACATTGTTTTACATTCGTGTGGTTTTCTCCACTCTGAACTCTATGATTCAGAATTAGAAGCAGTTATTAGCAAAGGCACTTCCACACTGATTGCGTTGAGGATTTCTCCCCGCTGTGAGGGTCTGGCGTAGAGTCCTGGCTTCCCGCAGAAGGCTTTCACGCTCTGCCATGTTCAGCCTGCGGCCTCTCTAGGAACTCGGATGCACCGCGAGGCCTCTCCCCCTCCCGTGGGCTTTCTCACATTCGGTCTCCTTGCAGGTTATCTCCACGGCGTGAGCCATTCTGTGTACAGTGGGGCATCCTCTGTCACTGAAGATGCTATCAGATTTAGTACATTCACAAGGTTTCTCTCCTTCCCGAGTTTTCTGAGGTATACAAATAACTGACTTCCACAAGAGGGCTTTTCCACACTCCGTGTGTACACACGGTTTCTGCCTGTGATCATTTCTTTTATTATTTTATTTTTTCGAGATAGGGTCTCGCTCAGTTTCTTAGGCTGGAGTGCAGTGGCACAATCCTTGGTCACTGTAGTCTCGACCTGGGCTCGAGCGATCCTCCCGCCTCAGCCTCCTGAGTAGCTGGTGCACACCACCATAACCAGCTAATTTTTATTTTGTGTAGAGACGAGGTCTCACTATGTTGCCCAGGCTGATCTCGAACTTCTGAGCTCAAGCGATCCTCCTGCCTCCACCTCCCAGAGTGCTGGGATTACAAACATGAGCCATCGCACTTAGCCTCTTTGATCGTTTCTGTGGTGTTCAGTGGAGGCTGACACCTCCCTAAAGATATTCCTGGTTTTTTTTTTTTTTTTTTTTTTTTGCATGGGTTTGAATTCTTTGAGGTCTAATCAATTTATTTGGACCCCTGAATAAAGTTTTATGAGTTTTCTTCTATGTGTGGAATTTATAAGGCATTCTCCCAGTGTGGTCTCTCTTCTGTCGAGTGAGAGGTGACCTGTACCTAAGGTTTTGTCCCATTTGTTGCCCTGAAATTATTTCTCCCAGTATGAATTACATGTTCCAGTGAAAATGGAGTTCTGGGTTGGAGGCTTATTCCATGTTTACACTATTAAAATTGCAGTGCTCCTCTCTGAGATGAGAGTTCTAAAGCAGAGTAAGATTACGTTTTGATGTAAGCTTTACTCACTTATTTATAAGGTCTCACCTGTGGTCCACTGTGTTGAGACTTCTACAGAAGAGCTTCTGTATAGTAACCATATTCTGAGGCTTTCTCACTTGTGTGAATCTTCTGATACATTTATTATAGCTTTGTCACATTTCTTATCCTTTTTGCTCTTTAGAAATTTCCCCTTAATTTATTACATTCATTGCTTACTGTAAACAGTCCAGGTAACTGACTTTATTCCGTTACTTCGTGTTCAATAAATTTAACTTTTCCCAGAAGTCTGACTTGGGTCTTCAGTTGCTTCTTTATACAGATACTGTTTCATAAAACTTCTTCAAACATGGAATAAAATGCACAATCCCAGGTGAATCTTCCCACCATTTTATAGAATGAAACTGCTTCACAAATACTCTTTGTTATATTGATACCTTTGTTTCTAAATATGAAACATTCCAAACTGTAAATATTTTCCATCTCTTGGGCTTTGAGGAGGGAAAAAACTGCTGTAGTATGGACAGCCAGAGTGGAATACTGATGGTTATTACAAGTAGCTTGGGGGGTTTCAAAAATGACATTCCACGCTGTGGAGAAAAGGCTAAAGAAATGTAAGGGACAGGAACCAAAAACGAATAAAGCTCTGATAAGAAGAAACTGACCAGTTGGATGGAATTCCAAAAGGTATTCAAGGGTGTGGAGAAGTAAATTAGTAAAAGGACTGGATTTGGCTGAGTGCGGTGGCTCATGCCTGTAATCCCAGCACTTTGGGAGGCTGAGGTGAGTGGATCACCTGAGGTCAGGAGTTCAAGACCAGCCTGGCCAACATGGCAAAACACCATCTCTACTAAAAACACAAAATTAGCTGGGCATGGTGGCACATGTCTGTAATCCCAGTTACTTGGGGGGGCTGAGGCTGGAGAATTGCTTGAACCCAGGAGACAGAGGTTTCAGTGAGTCAAGATATCGTGCCATTGCACTCCAGCCTGGGCAACAGAGAGAAATTCTGTCTCCAAAAAAAAAAGAAAAAAGAAAAGAAGACTGGATTTGAAAATTTTAAGCCTCATCACTTCATTTGTGGATTACTGTTTTACTCTCTTTAGGCTGCTAGAAAAGAATACCATAGACTCAGTGGCTTCTAAAAACAGACGTTTCTCATAGTTCTGGAGGCTGGGAAGTCCAAGAGCAAGACACCAGGGCACTTGGTGTCTGGTGAGGGCTGCCTCCTTGTTCATAAACAGCATTTCCTTGCTGTGTCCTCATACGGTGGGAGGTGTGAGGGCATCCTGGGGTCTCTTTATAAGGGGTCTAGTGCCATTCCCAAGGGCTCTACTCTCATAACCTCCCACAGGTCCCATCTCCAAATACCATACATTGGGGGTTAGGATCTCACCATATGACTTTTGGAGCAACATAAATATTCAGCCTATGGCAATTACTCAGAATACTAACTAGTCTTTCTGCTTCTTGTATCTTTTCCCTCTTGTTCATCCTACACAGTAATATAAAAAATCACCGTTCCATGGCACCATGGTGCTGTGGCCCCATTGCTAGGGTCCCAGCCCTCTCCTGTCACCTCCATCTGGCTGTGATTTATTCTCAAATTTACCTGCAGACTCACATAACAGAAATAGCAGAAACGGTACATTAGTCTAGGGGAACATGGCCCCAGGCACTCTTCACTC